ATTCACTGTCCCCTTTTTGGAGTCAGTAATGCCGACCTTGTGTGCATAGGGAATCCCCTGTGTCAGTGTCTCAAATATTTTTTGTCATCCAGTCTGATTCTCCTCTTGTCTAACTCTCTCTCTCTCTCTCTTCCGATATATATATATATATATATATATATATATATATATATATATATATATATATACTTATATAAATATAGTCATGTGTGCTGCACCAGCAAGCAAGCGGGTGGCAGATAATGAGTGAATGTATATGCATATATGTGTGTGTGTGCGTGTGTGTGTTATAACCACTGCTCGTTTGAGTATGCTTGCTGAATACATTCATCTTCTTGTAGGGAGTCGGCAGTCCAAACCCAAGTTCAAGGTGTCTCCTTCGTGCCAAAGAACTGCATGGCTGTTGGGTGAACAGTCGTTAACGAAGGCAGTCAGGTCGTTGTTGGGGCGACGCTTGCTGGTGGATGTAATGGCCTAAGTGCCTTCCCCAGCTAATAGTGAGGGTGTGACCGGGGGTGAAAGTTTATAAACCCTCACATAATGCTTCGGGTCAAAATGGACGCTAGGCACAGCCACTGTTTTGAGCCGAGGCAAAATGTTTTGCTTCTGCCTGACGGTGGCCGTTGCATTTTTGTTCCATTTGTAGACTGGAAGGATATAGTTTTGTTGCCTAGCTTCTGAGTTAAGTGCATGGCGTGACAATGTGAGCTGCGGATTTCATTTGGAATGTTTTTTGACTGTGACCAACGTGGTGTGAATTGTAGATTCAGAAAATGGGGCGATGCCGGTTGTCGCAATATTGGTAGGGCCATTATGTACTCAAAATTGATCGCGTGTGCAGCTGTTGATATTTTGGTGACTTCTGCTACCATCAAAAATGATAACTGCATTTCTAATGTCGGACTGTTAGTGCTTGCACTTCGGATGGCTACCGTATGCTTTTAATGCATGTGTATGCTAGATATGCTGAGACAGCAGTCTGTCAATCATTCCACAAGGGACTGTGATAAACATCCTGGGTGCTTTTCGTTGGCACAGGAGCGGATCTGCTATGGGGTGACCCGTTTGCTATGAAGCTGAAACTAAGATTACTAGTTTACCAGATGTCATAGGGAAAGAATTTCAGTTCTGATCAAATGTAATGTACGAACCGTGTGTGTGTATATATATATATATATATATATATATATATATATATATATATATATATATATATATATGTGTGTGTGTGTGTGTGTGTATGTGTGTGTGTGTGTGTCTGTTTGTGTGCCTGTGCATGTGCTTGTGTGTGTAAATGTTTAAAGACGTGATAGAGAATTTCAATCAAAAATTAAACATGTTTTAACTTCTGGTGTTTTGGCTCCTTTACCAAAATCATTGAGTATTATTCCGCAAACAACTTGACTAGCCTGTCTTGGATTTGACCTGGAAGATGCTCATCCGTGCGATGACGTATTGCACCTTGTGTCACGTGGTGTTGATCGCTCATAGTCCAGTCCTAGTAGGGAATAATTGCATTCGCATACGCAAGAATAAACGCTAACACAGGAAGCAATGGCTCCCCCTCGTCCCCCGCCCTCCCCTTTACAAATGTTCCATTGAGGTGGGAGGGAGATCGTTTAATAAACTTAATCCTTGTTTAACTTTGTAATAATAATAAGCGTATTAGTATTAATAATAAAATTAATAATTATAAGGTGCTGAAAAGCGAATAAATGTTATAATATACATAAAACATATTAAATGAGTAAAAAATTATAAATACCTTTTGATCTCTTTTTCAGTACTGTTGTTTACTTTACTATACCTCGCGTTACTTTAATTCACTTTACTGTACTGTATTTTACTTTACTATACCTCGCGTTACTATAATTCACTTTTCAGTACTGTTTTTTACTTTACTGTATCTTCCGTTCCTATAAATCACTTTACTGTACTGTATTTTACTTTACTATATCTTCCGTTACTATAATTCACTTTACTGTACTGTATTTTACTTTACTATATCTTCCGTTAATATAATTCACTTTACTGTACTGTATTTTACTTTACTATATCTTCCGTTACTATAATTCACTTTACTGTACTGTATTTTACTTTACTATATCTTCCGTTACTATAATTCACTTTACTGTACTGTATTTTACTTTACTATATCTTCCGTTACTATAATTTACTTTACTTTACTGTACTGTATTTTACTTTACTATATCTTCCGTTACTATAATTCACTTTACTGTACTGTATTTTACTTTACTATATCTTCGGTTACTATAATTCACTTTACTGTACTGTATTTTACTTTACTATATCTTCCGTTACTATAATTCTCTTTACTGTACTGTATTTTACTTTACTATATCTTCCGTTACTATAATTCACTTTACTGTACTGTATTTTACTTTACTATATCTTCGGTTACTATAATTCACTTTACTGTACTGTATTTTACTTTACTATATCTTCCGTTACTATAATTCACTTTACTGTACTGTATTTTACTTTACTATATCTTCCGTTACTATAATTCACTTTACTGTACTGTATTTTACTTTACTATATCTTCCGTTACTATAATTCACTTTGTACTGTATTTTACTTTACTATATCTTCCGTTACTATAATTCACTTTACTGTACTGTATTTTACTTTACTATATCTTCCGTTACTATAATTCACTTTACTGTACTGTATTTTACTTTACTATATCTTCCGTTACTATAATTCACTTTACTGTACTGTATTTTACTTTACTATATCTTCCGTTACTATAATTCACTTTACTGTACTGTATTTTACTGATAAAAAGAACTCTACAGGGGAGCATACACAGCAGGGGTCCACCGTTCATCAGAAGAAAGATCCCCCATAGACGATTGTTTTGGCCCATTACTTCCTACATAATTTCGGAAGGTGAGCCCACTCGGGTCATGACTCCAGGCCACGATCATCCCCTACTGCACTTTATTGGACTCTCAGGCAGGGACAAGACAATATGGTGACTTCGAAACAGGTATTGTGAGATTTTTGTGTTATATTGTCACCGTAGCCAATTAACCGCCTACCTTAATTACCAGAGTGACAATCAGTTCATCACACAGTTGTTAGACTTTGGCAGAGAGACTGGCAGACAATTATCGGACACTTTTGCTTAATAGGCATGAAAAGTTCGTTTCCACTAGTGTCCCGGACCCCTCCCCTACGACGTTCTGTTGTGTCCAAAGACAGTTTAAATCTTTTTCAGCAGCTTCGCATAGTTGTTTTAGTGATATTTTAAGTTCGTTTCCTTTCAAACCCAGCTGCATTAGCACATTTTGTGTGGAAGTAGAGTTGAGACCTCTTGCGCTACCTCCACGGCTAAGATTCTAACTGTGTACAATTCGTCTTTCCTCAGACCGGCCACGAGCTGACCGTACTTTTCGAGCTTGTATAGGTGATTTTCTTCTATCTCGTACGGCTCGGTCAACTCTATCAGGGTGAGCTGGCGTTTTTTCCCAGAGTGCAGAGCTATTTCTAATCTCAGGCCAGTCTTCCGGGTCGAATCTGTGTACTTTTCGAAACCAGGCAGGTCTACAGACAGTAACCAGTCCTTCGAACAGTCAAATATCGATGGAGCGTATACGACCGTACTATCTTCACCTTTAGAAATCTGCCCAGTCTTCTGAAAGCGCGTGGTGGCGACGGTAGGACTGGCCCTCGCGTTGGCCCTCATCTTTGCTTGGCTCACAATATCCGCTAACTCTTTCAGGTTCTTCACCGGTTCCTCCAGAACCATGAGTATTCTTGTTCTTGTCACCTTGAAATTGACTGCCGCTAGTTTGCCCTTGAGGACTGACAAACTTCTTGATTTCTGCAGCTTGAACCGCATGCCACACCATTCGACAACGTGATCCAACCTCTTCAGATTCGAGCGGACATCTTCCTCATTGCCCGTTATGAAAGTTGTTTCAATCTATAAATGGACGCAGTTTCGGTATCAGTGGTCTCCAATTTGAAGGCCTTGCCCACAGCCCCGTCTAACATGACCCGCATGGCCATTAGGAAGAGTATTGGCAAAATCGTACATCCCATTACTATTCCAGCCTCAGTCCACCTCGTAGTAAAAGTGGGAGTAGTTTGTTTGTTTTAGTATTTAGAAGCAATGAGTTGTTAACACTTAGACTCGGTATTATGGATATCGGCCTTGATTCCATTGTAAATACCGTCAATCTGGGAGAAATGGAGCTTTTCTGCCTACCCCCGGGAGTGAACCCGGACCACAAGAAGTTCGTCACCAGGTCTCCGCGCAATCTGGTTATGCCAACTACACTTGAGAGCCGGGCAACAGTTGGAGTAGAGAAGCGTATGTCGAACTTTGAGAAATTTTGCTCTATTATTTCGGTGATCTGTGTCGGTACGTGGAACACGCGAAGGGTCTGCTACAATCACTTATGGGGTACCGATCTATAAACGTTGGCGAAGTCTAGCCATACCACATTCAACTTGGTTCTCTCTGCCTTAGCTCTCTAGATAGTTTCCCAGATCATGGTCGCGTGCTCAAGGCACCCAGGAACGCCTGGGATTCCACCTTCGGAACCGTTGTATCAATGTATTTGTTCTCCGTCAAATACTGAGTGAGCCTGCGTGTCAAGAATATCTTGCCCTCAACATTCTCGTGGCAATTAGGATTTGTTGTGGGCATTTCATTTCTACCAATGTTGGTAATAACTACTTTATTTAAACTTCTCTTTTGGTGTCTTCTATTTTCACGTGCGTTCAGCAAAATTTATTACGTCTACTGAATGACTTGATTTGCTTTATTTCATCTATGTTTTATCTCTGCTTTCAAAACAGATTTCAGCACATTCCTAATCATTCGCCTTTTACGACATGCAGGTAAGTAGCGGTGGATCTATTGTCCACACTCCCCTTCCCCTCAATCCCCCCACCCCCTAAACTTTCCCACCTTACCACCAAATGGGTCCCAAAACTCAGATGGACAACACAAACAACAATCTTACCACACTGGAACATCAGCGCCAGGATTAGACATGATTTCATCTGTAGAACAAAATAACAAAAGCCAGATGAAATATTTCAGATTTCGTGTGTCTGCGCAAAGCAATTTACTAAGAGATGCATAAACTTATAATGTTGATGAGTGAAGCCAAACAATTTTAAACTGGAAACAATCAGTGATATATAACAGATTCCACCGGCTAGAGAAGAATAAATGAATATAGCTAGACTTCCGGTCAGTATTGTGGATAGGCGGCCTTCTAGTCTTTAGATGGGTGCAACTTTTCGATCCGACAATAGCAGTTGGGTTTTCTCCATGTGTCGACTGGAATGATACATTTTTCGTCGCATAGCTATTGAGTTGAGTACATGGTGAGACACCTTGAGCTGCGGAATTGATTTACAATGCTTTACGACGGTGTCCACAGTAGTTTGTGTTGTGAACTACAGATTCAGAAAGTGACGAGAGGCCTGTTGCTAAAGAACATGGTGGTGTCCTATGCGACTGATTGCGTGTGCAACAACTGAACAGTTGTAACTGCTGCTTCCATTGAAGATGAACTCATTTCTTCTCCCCCACCCCCACCCCTCCTCCTTCTCCCCTTGTTTTAACACGGGACAGTGACAGACATTCTGTGTGGGTTTGGCTGGCACATGAACGGAGCAGTGATTGGGGGGGGGGGGGTGACCCGTTTGCTGTAAAGTTGGAGCAGCATTGACTTGACTACCTGATTCAATCAAAAATAGATTGCCAGCCCTGAGGGTCCTGTAAAGGTCGCAACACGATGTTGATGAAGAGGTTAATGACGACGACAGTATATAAGTTCTACGTGACTTCGTGTAAGATGTTGAATTACACTTTGTTGAGGATTTATATGTTTGATTTTCTGTCTGTCTGTCTGTCTGTTTATTTGTCTGTCTGTCTGCCTCTGCCAGCCTGCCTGTTTATCTATGTTTCTGTGGTTAATTTTTAGTCACCTGACTTCTGTTAAATGTTTGATCACTTATGATCAATGCCACTATGACGCTGAACACGAAAAAAAAAAAGTCAGTTTTCGGGACAGGACAATGCTTCTGACCCAGTTCTCCTGATCATGTAGGCTTCTGTGTTTATTCCTCTTCTCTCATTACTTTATGTATATATATATATATATATATATATATATATATATATATATATATATATATATATATATATATATATATATATATATATACAGTACAATGTCACTGTACAAAACCGGTATAATGCAATGAAAATTATACAGACTATTGGTGAACAGTGGGATATGTTGCGTGAGTCAATTCAGCAGACATCAAAAGAGACAATCCCACCAACCCATAGAGTTGAAAAAAAGAAATGGATGTCAACCGAAATTCTGCAGTTGATGGATGAAAGAAGAAAGAAAAAGAATGATAAAGAAGAATACTCTAGAATACAACAAGAAATAGTGAACAAATGCAAAGTGGCTAAAGAGGCATGGCTGAATCAAATGTGTACATAGATTGAAGAAAACAACAGGAAAGACTCACATTCCATGTACCAACAGATAAATATGTTAACAGGAAAGATGACACGTAACAACACTGGATGTTTGAAATCAAAACATGGTGACTTATTAATGAGACATAGGAATATAATTAACAGATGAACAGAGTATATAGGGGAATTGTATGATGATAATAGACCAGATGCAGAACTGCAGACCAACAGTGATGGTCCACCAATAATGACTGCAGAAGTTGAGAATGCAATGCATCATATGAAGAAAGGAAAAGCACCCGGGCCAGACAACATCTCACTGGAAGAAATCGAAGCACTGGGAAATTTTGGAATTGAAATAATAACTAAACTTTTAAATGATATTTATAATAGTGGGTATATTCCAAATCACCTTTTAAAATCCATATTTATAGCTCTGCCAAAGAAACCAGGCACTTTAAAGTGTGAAGACCATCGCACAATAAGTCTTATGAATCACATGACAAAGATTTTACTGAGAATAATTATGAGAAGAATAAGAAACAAAATTAAACCAGAAATCATCGATGAACAATGTGGATTTGTAGAAGGCAAAAGGTACAAACAATGCCATTTACATCCTAAGGACATTGTCAGAAATAGCTAAAGAAGTAAAGACTGATTTGTACACATGCTTCAGAGACTATAAAAAAGCATTTGACTGTGTGAAGCATGAAGAAGTAATCAAACTATTAGAAAAAAAAAACAGTGATGGGATAGATCTACGAATAATGAAGAATGTGTATTTGCAGCAAACATCAGCTATAAGAATAAACAACTGTTTAGGTACATTTCAAAGCATAAAGAGAGGCGTACTACAAGGATGTATACTTTCACCTGATTTGTTTTCAATATACAGTGAATATATAATGAGATCTTTAATTGATATGTGGTTGGTGGGCACAATATAAACAATTTACGTAATGCTGATGACACAGTCTTGATAGCAAACAAGTCAGAAAGAATTACAGGAAATGATAGACATTGTGGTGTTAGAAAGTGGAAGAATGGGCCTCAGTTCGAAAAATGGGAAGACAGAAGTAATGGTGGTATCAAAGAAACAAATTATTCTTAAATGTGTAATAAAAGTCATTGGTGTTATCTTAGGACAAGAATAGAAATTTAAGTATCTGGGCACATGGATAAGATTACATGGAAGATGCATAACTGAAATAAGAAACAGAACTGGACAGGCAAAAACTCCATTTTATAAAATGAAAAACATCTTGTGCAATATATCCTTGTCATTGAAGGTTAGAAAAAGAATTCTTGCTTGCTACATACATCCAGTTTTAACATATGGCTGTGAATCCTGGACAATCGGTAGGCAGGCCAAACAATTTTTAGAGGCCTCAGAGATGTGGTTTTACAGAAGAATGCTTAGAATACCTTGGACAGCCAAAAAGAGCAACCAAGAGGTTTTGAAATAGGCGGGAACCCGAAGACTACTTATCACAGACATCAGAAGGAGACAGTCATCATTTTTCGGCCATGTTATGAGAAGAGGGAAAAAAGAACATATTGTGACCTCTGGAAAGATCTGTGGAAGGAAGGATAGAGGAAGACAACGAGAGAAGATGCTTGACTGTCTTGTTGCATGGCATGGAGGTGTGTCAGCACATGAACTGATACATGCTGCAGGATATCGCAGATTATGGAGAGGCATGATTGCCCACGCCAGTCGGCAAGGCACCTGATGATATATATATATATATATATACACACACACACAGAGCTTCCGGTCGAAATGGACGCTGGGTAGGGGCACTGTTTTTGGAGCCGAGGCAAATTTTTTTCTTCTGCTGTACGGTGGATGATGCGTTTTTGTTCCATTTGTAGACTGGATATAGTTTCGTCACCCAGCTTCTGAGTTGAATGCATGGTGTGACACTGTGAGCTGCGGATTTTATTTGAAATGTTTCTTTGACTGTGACCAACGTGGTGGTGTGAATTGCAGATTCAGAAAACAGCCCGATGCCTGTCGTCGCAATTTTGGTGGTGCCCGTACGTGATTAAGATTGATAGCATGGACAACTGCAGATCTGTTGGTGACTGATGCTACCATCAATGATGAACTGCATTTCTAATGTCGGTGTCGCGCGCCCACGTGGGTTAATACACTGAAATAGTGAGGGTGTGGGGTTGAACCTTAACAATCTTCTGCCTTCCTCTACACGTCCTGTAATGATAGTCAAGTCTTCTACGTCAGGTGCCAGCTCTCGTACAGACTCAAAATGACAATCAGTCAGACAGAACCAGTTCTGGAATCTATGCTTGGAACAATCGACGCGCCCAGAAAGCTAACAATAGTTATGGGGCGAATCAAATAACAAATCTCATGGATTTACTCTCCGGGATCAATCTCCGCATTAGCCTCCCGAGAGTTAAACACATTTCAGTGTGTAAGCTGTATGTAATACAGATTCACATTAATCACACGTGAAAAGATTGCCAGAGAAAAGTCTGGCTAGGAGATAAAATATCTGACACCAACAGATGGTGTGCAAATCTCCAGTCAGTAAGTCTGCTTGGTCAGTCTTATCTCTGTACCTCAACACTTAACAACTGGGGAAAAGTTTTAGTGTTTGATATGACCAACGGTCCAGGAGAATTAAAGGTTTGATGTGGTCGTCTTACTTAGATTAAGGATGTATCCAAATCCCTATTTGTCTGTATACTTCAAAATACACACAAATAAAAGTAGGTTGAGGAAAGACATTCTGAAGTCACCGCGCGTATTGTCACAGTCGGACTGTTTGTGTTAGCACTTCGGATGGCTACCATATACTTTATTGCGAGTGTATGCTATATGCTGAGACAGCAGTCTATCAATCTTTCCACAAGGGACTGTGATACACATTCTGTGTGTTGTTCGTTGGCACAGGAGCGAAGCAAAGATGTTGTGACCCATTTGCTATGAAGCTGAAACTAGGACTACCAGACTAGACAAGATATATATATATATATACGCACACATGCACACATACATACTTACATATATATGTTTTAAAACACTACAATATTGTAAGATAAAATGATACCATTTTCAATGAAGCCTTAAAGACTCGAGACAGCGCAATCAGTCGTTAGCGACGACAGGAAGCCACAGTACATTTTGTTTCTCCATTATAACTTATATTTATATTTTTTTTCATATTAACGCGTCATCCTAAAAGACCGTACTGATGTGACATGAAATTATTGGTCTATATTTTCAAAAGCTGATAAATTGTTCATGACCTCAGTAGTCCATGACCATCAACAGCATGGATAATATCATAAGAACCATGCAGGCACAAAACATTATGTGTTTTTTTGGTCTTGTTTATTGTTAATGTTTAGATGAAAGTTCCAGCTTGAGAGTGGTAGTGTCAGTTTATTTCCCACGTTGATGAAATAACCGTTGACATTTGTAATTTGTATTTCATATCGTCATCGCCTTTATTATCATTATCAGTGCCTTTCTTTCTGGTGATACGCTAGGGTTATCAGTACTGGCATCTTTTTCATGCATCACATTTTCAACGCTTGACCTAAGCTCCTAGGTCGGCCAGGTCTTGCAAATGTACTAGTTAACGTCATGGGAAGATACTTGTGAAAAAACTAACCTATTTATTAGTGCTGCAGGACACAGAGTCTAAACCTACACTGTTACACAGGGCCCACTTATCTCTCAGTTGACCTGATCTGACCATCTGCTCATCTGACTTAGCAGACGCAAGTTACCCCCAAGTCCTGGATGAAATAGGAAGTGACCACAGGCCAATACTAATAACTGTAAGCACCCCCGCTAAATCATGCTTTAAGCAGAGAACCCGTTGGAATTTTGGAAAAGCAAACTGGAAACTGTTTCAGGAAACATCTGACTGCTTCCTGGGAAGAATTGACAACAGCTGTGTGGGAACATTTTGTGAAGATCTAAAAGAAGCAATCATTTAAGCAGCATTGAAAGCCATCACAAGGGGCAGCCGGAAGACATATAAACCTTTCTGGAATAAAGAAATTTAAAATACTAAAGCTTTAAGGAATAAAGCAAGAATTTTACTCGAAAATGCACGCTCACCAGAAGCAAAGATCTAATACAATAAAGCATGTGCCAGAGTAAAGCTTGCAGTTAATAAGGCTAAAAGAGATAAATGGACAGAAACTTGCTCCAACTTAGACCTTAGAATGGAAATAAAGCATGGACTAGTTAAAAACCTCTCCAGAGAAAGTAGAAGGGTGAACCCAAAACCAGTGACAGATGGGAGTAAGACATTCACTGAAGACAAGAAGGAAGCTGAACACTTCAATCATTATTTTGCCTCTGTTGATAGAGCAGGCAAACGCACATAATGGGATAGAATACAGCCATCTCAGTTAAAGAAAGATGAGTTTAGCATGGGTGAATTAGAAAAACGCCCTGAAGAAATTAAAACCTAGAAAATCCCCAGGTACAGACAAGATTCACAAGGAAATGCTGCTACATCTTGGCCGGTCTGGCAGAAAAGTAGTTCTCAGGCTTATAAATAAGACATGAAGATCAGGCATGGAGAAATGCATATATCGTCCTCATACTTAAAACAAATAAGCCTCCAGACGACCCAAAAAGCTATCGCCCGATATTCTTAACATCATGCTTGGGCACAGTTGCCGAGATAATGATAAATAGGCGCTTATATTGGTTCCTTGAGAGTTCTGGTGTTCTATGCCATGAACAGGCAGGCTTCAGAACCAACAGCTGCACAGAAGACCAGCTGTTCAGACTGACACAAAGAATACATGATGGCTTCCAGAATAAGAAACACACAGTGGCCGTCTTTGTCGACCTCCAGCAGGCCTATGACAGAGTATGGAGGAAAGGTCTCCTGATGAAGATGATGAGCATAGGAATACATGGCAGGTTGTATAACTGGGTTAAATATTTTCTGATATATAGAAAAATCCAGACTAAGATACACAATGCAATCTCATCTAAAGAAGTCTTGGAGGAGGGCTTGCCACAAGGCTCATCACTGAGCTGTACACTGCTTCTAATCTTTATCAATGACTTGCCAGAATAAATCAAGGCCGTAAAAGCCTTGTACGCTGATGATCTAGCAATATGGCAGAGTCATAAATATATAGAAAGTGGAGCCCAAAGACTTAATGGAGACCTTAGAAGACTGCACGAGTACTGCCAAAGATGGAAACTCAAGGTTAACTGTACAAAGACGGCGTGCACGTTCTTTACAAAAAGCCATCATGTAGCAACAAAGAATATTAACTTAATGTTAGACAAGCACCAAGTGGTGAAAGAAGCGCACCCTACATATCTTGGAGTCGCACTTGACCGGCAACTGAGCCTCAAGAATAATATTGAAAACAAGGAATAAGGCAATGAAGCGGTTACATCTTGGGAATCAGACAAGGAAACTCTGAGGGGCTTGTATCTCGGATATGTTCACTCTGTGATAGAGTATAACAACTCGCTGCTTGCAACCTGCTCCAAGACAAACCTAGAGTCTTTCGACAAAGTACAAAATAATACCCTCCGATTAATCAGCGGAGCTATGCGGTCTACTCCAACTGCTGCATGTGAAATCCATACAAATGTGAAACCCCTCCGGTTGCGGAGAGAAAAAGCCACTTTATAAATTTATGAAAGATGAATTAGAAAGAATCGTAACCATCCTAATAGACACCTTATAGAAAGTTGGGAATACAAACAAAAAATAAAGCACAAATCGTTTTTACACTGTGCACGTGAGGTACAGGACAGATACCATCTCCAAGAAAGACGTCAGAGCTCTCATAATGTTGCAAGAAACTTACCACCATATGCTCGCTTTAAAGCTCCAGAAGTCAGGTTGAAATTGGTAGACGAAGAAACTAAACAGTCCGACCCAAACACCCTTATGAACTCATCACTAAAGACTATTGATTCTTACCCCGAAGAATGGATACATCTTTGTACTGATAGATCTGCATTCAAAGCCACTATTAAAGCAGGTTACGGAATCTACAAAGGCTACTCTGATGGGTCTTTTGAAGAGATATTTGATGCACGCAGTGAATTCTGCTCAAATATTAAAGCTGAAATAATCTCATACCACCTAAAGACTGTAACGGATGTTTATCCTTCAAAGGTTTAAAAAATTGTCATCTTCACCGATTCAATGTCTGCTCTTCAAGCTCTAAAGGGCAGTTAACGCTGCAGAACTGACATAGCTAAGATAATTCTATATGCTGATCAGCTCATACAACAGAATAGTGATGCAGTGGATTCCAGGCCACTCCGGCACACCAGGTAATGACAGAGCTGACAGACTGGCAAAGAAAGGAGCAACACAAGAACAACCACCTTCAGCGACAACCCTAAACAAAGAGACTTGGCTTAACAGATGGGCCATGGAAGGTACTGGAAGAGAGGTTTATAGACACATGGCTATCCCTGATCCTAATGACAGCATTAACCATTTAACAAGAAGGGACCAGGCCACCATCTTCAGACTCAGAACACAGTATACTCCACTCAATGGTCACGTAAACAGAATACAGACACAACACTCCCCGAGTGCCAGCTATGTAACTACCGCTACGAAACTGTTGACCATCATTTCTTTGAGTGCCCAAAACTCAACGAGACTAGAAGAATGCAACTCCCTCTGAGACCAGACAGGTGGAACACCTTGTACAAAGAAAAAGAACAGCTTGTGAAAACATGTAAATTCCATTACATGGCATTGGGCCAAAAGGGCGAAAGCTCATGCGCCGCTGGAGCAATAACAACAACAACAACAACGTCATGGGAAGTAAAGCCGGTATGTGTGTTGTTGAGTACACCATCCTCCAAATGTCGAAGAGTTTATGAAATAGAGTTCGCACCCGATATTCCCAATACGCTTAAAGGCGTGTGAAAGGGTCTGTTAAATTTTCACTTGTCAACACTACGTATATTGGCGTGACACGCTACTTATTTTGACGTCAAACGCTACGTATATTGACGTCAAACGCTACGTATATTGACGTCAAATGCTACGTATATTAACGTCAAACGCTACGTATATTAACGAAAAACTTTATGTATATTGACGTCAGACGCTACGTTTATTGACGTCAAATCATTATGATGAAGACATTGACGATAATGAAAAAGATGCTAGCTATAATGACGACTACGTCAGCGGAGATGACAGTTATGATGATGTCGATCAATGTGATGGTGATGACAGTTATGATGATGTCGATCAGTGTGATGGTAATGAAATTTAAGATGATGACGATCAATATGATAGTGATGACAGTTATGATGATGTCGATCAATGTGATGGTGATGAAAGTTATGATGATGTCGATCAATGTGATGGAGATGACAGTTATGATGATGTCGATCAATGTGATGGAGATGACAGTTATGATGATGTCGATCAATATGATGGTGATGACAGTTATGATGATGTCGATCAATATAATGGTGTTTACAGTTATGATGATGTCGATCAATATGATGGTGATGACAGTTATGATGATATCGATGAAAGTGATAGTGATGACAAGCACTGCACAGATAAGGATGATGTTGGCAGTATCAATATCATCTGGTATCAATAATGACGATGAGGAGGATGTCTATCAGTGTGGTGATTTTAAAGATGAGGTTGATGATGATTATTGTGATAATGGCGATGATGATCTTGATGATGATAGCCATGATAATGATGACGATGGTGACGACAGTGATCATAGTGATGATAATGGTGATGATGACGGTGACGACAACCTCCACAACAACGACCACCATGTTGATGATGATACCGACAATGATGACGACGACGCCGAGGATGTTGATGATGATACCGACAATGATGACGACGACGCCGAGGATGTTGATGATGATAACGACAATGATGATGACGACGCCGAGGATGTTGATGATGATAACGACAATGATGACGACGACGCCGAGGATGTTGATGATGATAACGACAATGATGACGACGACACCGAGGATGTTGATGATGATAACGACAATGATGACTAGGACGATGACGACGAAGACGACAACAATGAGGCTGATGACGGTGACGATCACGTTGATAATGATGATGATCATGGTCATGGTGAAGATGATGATGAAATAATACCATCTTCAGTGCGAACTAGCTTGTCTCCAACTGTCGTAGTCTCACAGTGTCAGCTCAATGACAGCAGCTACACGTGAGTGTAGAATGAATCTGCTTAGGAACGGACCGTTTATAAACATCCTTGACGCCAGCTACAAGATAATGATTTATGTAGTGAAAAAAGGTCATCAACCAGGTGTATCATAAAGTTTCAAGGTTATCCTTAGTCACTACAGAAGTAGGATGGTCATTTGCGCAAGACGAGTGTATTATGTAACACAACGGTGGATATGTGTGTGTCTGTGTGTGTGTGTCTGTGTGTGTTTGTATGTATGTATGTATGTATGTATGTATGTATGTATGTATGTATGTATGTATGTATGTATGTATGTATGTATGTATGTATGTATGTATGTATGTATGTATGTATGTATGTATGTATGTATGTATGTATGTATGTATGTATGTATGTATGTATGTATGTATGTATGTATGTATGTATGTATGTATGTATGTATGTATGTATGTATGTATGTATGTATGTATGTATGTATGTATGTATGTATGTATGTATGTATGTATGTATGTATGTATGTATGTATGTATGTATGTATGTATGTATGTATGTATGTATGTATGTATGTATGTATGTATGTATGTATGTATGTATGTATGTATGTATGTATGTATGTATGTATGTATGTATGTATGTATGTATGTATGTATGTATGTATGTATGTATGTATGTATGTATGTATGTATGTATGTATGTATGTATGTATGTATGTATGTATGTATGTATGTATGTATGTATGTATGTATGTATGTATGTATGTATGTATGTATGTATGTATGTATGTATGTATGTATGTATGTATGTATGTATGTATGTATGTATGTATGTATGTATGTATGTATGTATGTATGTATGTATGTATGTATGTATGTATGTATGTATGTATGTATGTATGTATGTATGTATGTATGTATGTATGTATGTATGTATGTATGTATGTATGTATGTATGTATGTATGTATGTATGTATGTATGTATGTATGTATGTATGTATGTATGTATGTATGTATGTATGTATGTATGTATGTATGTATGTATGTATGTATGTATGTATGTATGTATGTATGTATGTATGTATGTATGTATGTATGTATGTATGTATGTATGTATGTATGTATGTATGTATGTATGTATGTATGTATGTATGTATGTATGTATGTATGTATGTATGTATGTATGTATGTATGTATGTATGTATGTATGTATGTATGTATGTATGTATGTATGTATGTATGTATGTATGTATGTATGTATGTATGTATGTATGTATGTATGTATGTATGTATGTATGTATGTATGTATGTATGTGTGTATGTATGTATGTGTGTGTGTGTGGTGTGTGTGTGTGTGTGTGTGTGTGTGTCTGTCTGTCTGTCTGTCTGTCTGTCTGTCTGTCTGTCTGTCTGTCTGTCTGTCTGTCTGTCTGTCTGTCTGTCTGTCTGTCTGTCTGTCTGTCTGTCTGTCTGTCTGTCTGTCTGTCTGTCTGTCTGTCTGTCTGTCTGTCTGTCTGTCTGTCTGTCTGTCTGTCTGTCTGTCTGTCTATCTATCTATCTATCTATCTATCTATCTATCTATCTATCTATCTATCTATCTATCTATCTATCTATCTATCTATCTATCTATCTATCTATCTATCTATCTATCTATCTATCTATCTATCTATCTATCTATCTATGTCATCATTATCTATTTTTCACTGTCTATTTCATTGTCTTGCTGTATCTATATCTTTGTATGATTTACTGCCTGCCATATGTTCGCTTTTGTCTTAATTTTTAAACTTCGTCATTTATGTGTCAATTTACCTGTCTTATTGGGCAGTTTTGCGACACTAAAATCTTACATCGATGAAACTGCATCTAGAGAACCATCTCATACACAAATACATTTTTTATTCTGCAAATGACAATTTTTTTTTTTATTTCCTTATGTCCACGTCAAACGGTTTGTTCTACTGGTGTTGTTTCTACTACTACAGTGGCACCTCGCTTAACGAGCATAATTCCTTCCAGAAACAAATTCTCATATAAATTACTCTAAAATACGATAATTCGTTCCAAGTCGAAGAAAAATACTCACAAACTGCTATGTATAACGTTTATTTAAAGAAAATTTTATACATATTTGTTAAGGAGAGTATTTCATCTTCATCGTTTCTTCAAACGCGGAACGAACCCACTTGGAATGCGAATTCGATTTGCAGAAAAAAAAATGAAATAAAGTTGAAATAATTATGAAACATAGCTATTTTTTTTTTTTTTACTAGAAAGATGTCTAGAGACACATGTTTTTGCCGACGCTTCAAAATTTGGCGAAAATACGACACAGCATTATCATTAAATAAATTTGCAGCATACATAGCCACTTACTTATTAAAGTAATGCTTCTCAATTCAAGATGCAACAGCTGCCCATGCTTTCGGCATTTCTCTTTTTTCGCCAAAAGATTTTTGCTTTTCTGTTACCTCCTCCTCTTCCTCCTCTAACAAACTTTCCTCCAAAACTTCTTGCTGTGAAACACAATGCAACTCCATAAGCTTTTCAGCGGCCAGCTCTTGGTTGTTCTCTTCCACAAGCTCCTCGATATCACTGTTATCCACCTACAGTCCCACGATAGTGGCCAAAGACACAATCTCAACCACTACAGGTTCCACAGGTACTATCTCAAACCCCTCAAAGTCACACACAAATCGACAAAGCTCTTTGGCTAAAGCTTCTTCCAAGCAGAAGTTAGGGTTCTCTTGGGAACCCCTTTCCCCGCCTTGTCGATAATTTTGAGGGAGGCAACGATTTGGAATGATTTTCCAAAACTCTTTTGAGGGTGAGGTTGGCCCCTTTAGTCACCTGAAAAGAATTCTGGAAGAGTGCTTTAGTGTAGAGCTTCCTAAAGTTAGAAATAACTTGCTGGTTCATGGGCTGGATTAACGGAGTGGTGTTGGGAGGCAGAAACTGGATCTTGGTAAACTTAAATTCTTCAGGGATATTTTGTAGGCCTGGAGGATTTATGTACATAATCACAATATAACACACGTTTGAGAAAATGTGTGATCGCAAGCGACACTAAGATGCTATTGGAACGAATGCTAATCAGGCCTGCTTTAACATGCGCACAATCTGGGACTTCACCTCTCCTCGCCACTCGTTATGCGAAACGTCGTTCGTTAAGCAAGTCATTTTGTTACTATTTTTTTGTGTGCTCATTATGCGAATTACTCGTTAGGAGAGGTGCTCGTTAAGCGATGTTCTACTGTACTACTACTACTACTACTACTACTACTACTACTACTACTACTACTACTACTACTACTACTACTACTACTACTACTGCTACTACTACTACTACTACTACCACCACCACCACCACCACCACTACTACAACAACTACTACTACTACTATTACTACTACTACCACTGCTACTTCTGCTACAACTGCTACTACTTTACTAATACTAACACAACAACCAGTACTACTACTACTACTACCACTACCACAACTACTTCTACAACCACCACCACTACTACTACTATCACCACCATATATGCTACTACTACTACAACCACTACCACAGCCACTACTACTACTTTTATCACTACTACTACTACTACTACCGCGACCACTACCACTACCACCACCACCACCACTGCTACTACCACTACAACCACCACTACTACTACAACTACTACTGCTACTACTTGCACATGAAGTGAGCTGCATGTTAGAGCAAAGTTCACGACGACTTGAGTTGATTAACCACCTACAATCCATTGAGAGAAAAAGTAAATGTGCCCTTTTGCCACGCCTACGATTGTATTAGGCATATAAGGCTAGACCTCAATTTTATACATCAGTCGGCACTTGGTGGGTGATGTGGTGATCACCACCATTACGCCGACCGCCTTTACTTTCTATAACTTAATCTGAATAATCTTCCGTTTCTCAACTATTTTTGCTGCATTGTGTTGTTCCTACAGTCTGTGAGATAATATAATTTCTAGCTTTCTCAGGTATCTCATTTTACAGGTATTATTGTTTTCTCATGCACCTCATTTTACTGTTATTAGTGTTTTCTCGGGCTTCTCATTTGACAGGTTATAATGTTTTGTCAAGCATCTCATTTTACAGTTACTAATGTTTTTTCAGGCATCACATTATGCAGTTATTATTGTTTTCTCAGGCTTGTCGTTATACAGTTATTATTGTTTTCTCATGCATCTCATTTTACAGTTACTAATGTTTTTTCAGGCATCACATTATGCAGTTATTATTGTTTTCTCAGGCTTGTCGTTATACAGTTATTATTGTTTTCTCATGCATCTCATTTTACAGTTATTATAGTTTTCTCATGCATCTAAATTTACAGTTATTATTGTTTTCTCATGCATCTGATTTTAGTTATTATTGTTTTCCAAGGCATCTCATTTTACAGTTATTATTGTTTTCTCAGGCATCTCATTTTAGTTATTTTTGTTTTCCAAGACATCTCATTTTACAGTTACTAATGTTTTCTCAGGCATCTCATTTTGCAGTTATTATTGTTTTCTCAGGCATCAAATTTTACAGTTATTTTTTTTTCCATATCATCTCATTTTAAAATTTTTATTCTTTTCTCATGCATCTCATATTACAGTTTTTATTGTTTTCTCGGGCATCTAATTTTACAGTTATTATTGTTTTCTCAGGCATCTCATTTTACAGTTACTAATGTTTTCTCAGGCATCTCATTTTACATTTAATATTGTTTTCTCGGGCATCAAATTTTACAGTTATTTTTTTTTTTTTTAATCACCTCATTTTAAAATTTTTGTTTTCTCATGCATCTCATTTTACAGTTTTGATTGTTTTCTCGGGCATCTCATTTTACAGTTATTATTGTTTTCTCGGGCATCTCATTCTACAGTTACTAATGTTTTCTCATGCATCTCATTTTACAGTTACAAATGTTTTCTCA